CAGTGCCTGTCTTCTCTGATTGCTATAAGGATTAAATAACTACAAAATCTTGAATCCATGAAATTGACCCAGAGACACAGAGAAACTACAGAGTTCAGGAAATTAGTGTGTGTGTTAGAGAAATTTGAGGCTTGTTACCATGAGCCATGGAGTCTAGTTCAAGGTCTGGTACCTGGTCTTTGGAGGTCAGTTCCTTAATTTCCTCTTATGTAAAATAAAAATGATTTTACTTACTCCAAAGCATAGATGCTAGGGGAAATGGAATAATAATTATGACTGCTTCAAGGGAACTCTATGAGGCTCTGTATCACATAGCACTAAGTGGCAGTGTCTCATGCCATTATGCAAGAAAACAGACCAGAGTTCCCTGAAGAAATGACTGCTGCAAGCACTGAGGGAGGAGCCCGGAACACAAGCCTGGAACACCTTTATTTCTAGAAAGAAACACGCACACATGGACAGACACACACAGGGACGTGTGCACACACAATGTTGAAAGTGTGTCAAAAGTCACAGAAAGCAGTTGAAAGAGTTCCAAATGGCTAAAACTGAAATAGAGACAAAATAATAAGATAGATTGGGTTATAACCCAAAGTATGTAATAAATATTCATGAGTCCATACTGATTAAAAGATTAAAAAAACAAGTGAGAGCTAATAGACCAATCTCCTATGCAGAGCAGTTCCAAGTAATTGACACAGATCACCCATGTTCAAAATGATAACCAACTCCATATTAGTCATATTTCTGTTGCTATGACAAACACCTGAGAAAAGCAGTTTAAAAGTAGGAAAGCTTTATTTTAATTCACAGTTTAATTCACAGAGGTTTTTTTTTTCACATGGTCACTTGGTTACATTGCTTCTGGCCACAGCAAGGCAGAACATCATAGCAGGAGGCACGCGGGGAAGAGCAGCACACCTCATGGCAGACATGGGATAGAGAGAGAAGGGAAGCTGGATACAGCGGTGCACACCTGGAATCTCAGCACTCACGAGGCTGAGCCAAGAGGATCACCACAAGTTTGAGGTCAGCCTGGGCTGTACAGTGAGAACAAGGCCAGCCTGAACTACATGGTGAGACTTTGTCTTAAAAAAGAGACAGAGAACAAGAGAAAGAGAGAGAAGGGGAAAGGGAGAGAGAGACTAAGAACAAAGTATACCTTTCCAAGTCAACCCTAATGACCTATCTCTGCCAACTAGGCGCCACCTCTTAGTTTCCAGTGGGTTAACCATTGGTGATGGCAGAAGCCCCATAATCCAATCACTTCCTAGAAACCCCACCTCCGAATATGGCTGCTCTGGGATTTAGCCTTTACCCAGGAGCCTCTGGGGCGATATTCCAAACCCACTCCTAAGTGAGGGCTGCACATAGTAAGTACCATCCACAGAGTACAGTCTGGAAAAGGGGAGAAAAAAGAGTTATCTTTACAGTGGAAAAGCTTGATAACACCATCTCAGCCTACAGACTAAGGTCAAAAGTAACAATGATAAATCCTGACAGCCTAAATTCTGGATGTGATGTGATGAAAATGGCACATAACTGTGTGATCGTTCTTCCCAAAACACACAATTCAATTCTAATCATCAGAAATAGAGGTAAATCCCAGCTAAAGGATACTCTACAAAATACCCGACCAGTACTCTTCAAAATTAGCAAGCCCATCAAAAAACAAAGAAAGTCTAAAAATCTATCAAAGCCCAGAAGAGCCTAAGAAAATATAGCAAGTATATGCAATGTGGGGTCATGAAACAAAAGAAAGATATTAAGGGAAAACTACAGGCATCTGAGGTCAGAACTGTGCTGTGTAAACTTTAGTTTATAATAATGAATCGATATTGGTTCATTAATTGTGATAAAAGTGATGTGCAAATAACATGCTAATGACAAGGAACACTGGCTTGCAGAGTATAGGCGCTCTCTATTATCTTTACAACTTTTCTGTGCATATAAAACTATTCTAAAATAAAGGGTTTCATTTTTAAAGATTTTTAGTTTTATTTTAAATGGCATAATTACTACAGAAATTAATGGGATACAATGTGCTTCTTCAATACATGTATACATTATGTAATGATCAAATTGGGAAAATTAATATGCCCATCACCTCAAATACTCATCCTTTCTTTGTAGAAAGCATTCAAAATCTCCTAGCTGCTTTGACATATGCAGTATGTTATTGACTACAGTCCCTCTACTACCAAACAGTACAGCTTATTTCCCCTATTCAATTTAGTACCTGTTGACAAACCTAACTCTATCTCCCCCCGATTTTCTATGAGATTAACTTGTTTAGATTTCACGTATATGAGATTATGCAGTATTTATCTATCTGCACTGGTTTATTTCACTTAACATATGTCATCCAGATTCATCCACATCACAAATGATATATTTCGTCTGTTTATTGTTGAGTAATATTCTGTTGTGTGTGTGACACATTTTCTTTATTCATTTATCAGTTGATGGGCACTTAGAAGGCTGTTTTCCATAAGGCTATACTGTTTTCCATTGCCATCAGCAGCATGCTAGGGTTCCCTTTTCTCCATATCCTCAGCAACAGCTGGTTTGGTTTAGTTCGGTTTGGTTTGAATCTCACTACATAGCCCAGGCTGGCTTCGAACTCACTAGAGTGTTTCTGCATCAGCCTCCCAATGGCTGGGAATATAGCATTTGTCACCACACCTGCTTGGCTTTTTAGTAGTAGCCTAAAAGGTGCAAGATACTGTCTCACTGCAGTTTTAATTTGCCCTTCCCTAGTGACTAATGATCTGGAGCACTTGTTCACGTGCACTGACACTTTGGATGTCTTCTTTTGAGAAACGTCAGTTCAGGTGTTTTGCTCATTTCGGTTAGATTGCATGGTTTTTGCTATCATTTGCATTCTTTGGATCATCTGGATTTTAATCTCCTAGACCATTGCCTGTCACATATTTTAGATTTTTTTCTTATCACAAATTGCAACTTCATACTGCATATACCTTAAAAATTATTTCCTTTTTAATTTTTTTGTTTTGTTTTTAACAGAAAAAAAGTAAAAATAACAATAAAATAAAGTTCAAAACAGGCCAATAGGAGAATGACAATAATCAATACATTGTGTGTTGGGATATTTACAGTAATTGTTCAGAGTACAAGATATAGGCATGAAACATTGTCAAAAAAAATGCTAGCACAAAACTTTCCTTCAGTGAACTAAGAGAAACTAGCTGTATAACTATCTTAACTGTCTTGTGTGTGTGTATATATATATCTTAATAATTTTCTCATTTTTTAATTCAATATATTATTAAATACATACGCATATAGTAAAAGCTTATGTATCCCATATAGTTATGGGAAGAGACGCCATATGTGTGGCGTCTCTTCCCATATAGTTTTACAGTCCTTTCCTGCCCAAAGAATTCTGTGTTCTGCCACACAGAATTTTGGGGTCAGTTATTTAAACTCTATCAGGATCGATGACAAAGCACAACTCAGAGGGTTGCTGTTTACACAGCCGTCTCAACGGCCATGTGCTAGGACTGTGCTACAAAAGCATTTTGCTACTTTCGTTCCTCAATTTTGTCATCTGTAAAACACAGATTACTGTTGGGAGACAGGAATAAGGTGATTAATATAAAGCATTCAAAACAGAGCCTGGTATACAGCAAGCAACATACTGGTGTTAGCTATTCATATGGTGGTGGTGATGGTGGTGATGGTGGCAGTGATTGCTGTTGTTGTTACTAGAATGTCTCCAATTCATACTCTGAAATTTCCCAGCTGACTCTTTCCAAGTTGTTTCCACAGGATGGTTCATTTTATGTCAATTTAGCTAACAGTCAATATTAATCTAGAAATTTCTGTGAAAGTATTTTGTAGATGGGATTAGTATTTACTATGACTTTACTTTAAATACATCAAATTACCTTCCATAATGTGAGTCATCCTTATCTAAGTTGAAGACCTTAGAAAGGAAAACGGAAATTTTCTGGCCAGGAAGGAATTCAGCCTCAAAAGTACAGCATCAAACCTGAGTTTGCAGCACATCAGCCTGCTGTGAAAGCTCACACTAGCTATCTCTGACAACTGTGTGGGCTAGTTTCTTAAAGTAAATGAATCTGGATGGATAGGTGGAGAGACAGAAAGACGAAGAGACAGAGAGACAGAGAGAAAATTGATTCTGCTTCTCTGTAGAACCCTCTCTGGCAGAGTTATCCCGCCTCCACTGTGTCTTATAAAAATGAAGTGTAGCCTCTTTTCTGGCCCAGACATGCATGTCACCCCCCAAATCAAAATTTGTTCATGCCCCTCCCTGCTTAAGCTTCCCATGACTTTCTTGGCTTCTAAGAGCACGGCCTCCAAGAAACGGTGGCCCCTGCCAAAATCCATGGACCTCGTCCCTCAACCCACAGAATCCAGCACAGAGGATTTCTCTTTGCTCTTCCAGTATACCCAGGTTACTGATACCTCAGAGCCTTTGTGTCTGCTCTTGTCTCTGCCACGGCCACCTACCCCGGCATCCTTCATGTAGCTGCCTGACCCTTCAGCTCCCTGTTGTGACATGATCCCATCAGCGTCCTTTGAGTAACACCCCCTAGTATTTACTACCATTACCTCTGTTTGCTCTCCCGTGCACCTAACTCACTTATGATTTTACATTTATTTGCTGTCACATTGAGGTTTATGAAGGCAGAAACAACTTTTTATTCACTGCTCTGTCCTTAGCACCTAATACAAAGTAGAAGACTAACACTCAGCAGCTGAATGAGTGGGGCCAGCAGCAACTGTGCAGCCCTTCTTTTCCTGTTCCCATCCATAACTGAAGGCATCACCTTAACACAGAGTTGGCCCCTGACACAAACAGGTGACTGCTAACATCGTAGGTGCAAACTTTACAAATCTGCATGATTCAGAACCTAAGCACAGTCAAATTCAGGAAGCCTAGTTCAATAGACATAAGTACCAAAATAAGAAATGCATTAAAAAGTATCCAAAGCAATCGTCCACAACCTTACCTGCAAAAAAACAGTCTCTGTCTCTACTTAACTCCTGCTCTCACGTCCCGCCATCACTTCTTTCATATCCTCCACCACCAAAACCTTCTGTTCCTCGTCCACTCCACATGGACCTTGCATCTCCAGTGCATAAATCAGCTTGGCTTTTCTTCCAGCAATTAAGGCTGCTCCTTTTTTTGTAAGAGGAAATTTACCTTGGCATAAAAGATGCTCCTGAAATCCTTAGATTCTCTTTGGCCAACTTCAGGAGGTAGCAAAGCCTGTCAACACTCTCCATTAAAAATATTTGTTGTCTCAGAGCACGCATAGCACTGTTCCAGTTGATTAATGCAGTCTTCTTGATCATTTCTGTGAGACGTGTAAATTGCATTGCTCAGTTTGTTAATGGAAACTATACACTAGCAGCCTTTGTGACATCTATCATAGGGGTCTATTGTCTATGCTGATAAACTTCTGGCTGAGGAATAGAGAATGTATCTGTCTTTGTTACATAGCTCAGTCTACTGAGAGTCTCTCTGGGCCCAAGGTTACAGAGGAGCAGAGGCTGTGAATACACCAGGAGGGATCCAGGCATAAACTGGGCTCCACTTGGCCACATTCCAGGTCACCCATCTAGAAGGGATTCAATTCTGGGTCTGCCTTTTTTAAGCCGTGCTATTTTTTAGCAAATCACTTGCCAGGATTTGGTGCTGCAGATAATTTTTGCACTTGACATATTTGCTCATTCTTGAAGAAAAAGTGGTTTCTCTGATTTGAGTGGTGTTTATCCATTCTTCTTAGTACATCTGAGCAGAAAGAAAGAGAAACGTAAAAGGGTAAAATGAGGAAAGGACAGATTTCTTTTTGGTTCCATTTCAACCCTAAGTAACTTGAACATGACAATTACCTTCTCTAAATCTTAATTTTTTTTTTATTAAAAAGTGTTGGCTGTGTCTATTGTTTACCTGAAGTCCCAGAAGTAACGAGATGAAGTCCAATCCACTTTCCAGAAACACCTTTACAATGAAACTCTTGCATGCAGATAATGTGAAATTTCTGTATATTCTACAAGACAGTGGCTGTTGATCACACTTGATACTAAATTTCTTCAGAAGGAAAATTTTCTGGTCATTTGCTAGAGATTGTTTTGCTGAGACTTGTCTTGTAGAGAGAAAATATTTTCCAGGCATGCCAAGAAGGGTGGGCCTTTTGCATGAGTGCCATGAATCTGGGCACTTAGTCCAGACTTGGGAACATGGACTGTTGTTAGTCACAGGCTATTGTGACTAGAAATATTTCAATTATTTTAACTGTCTTCCATGCCTTAGAGGGGTTGTAAGATACCAACATTTATGCCTATATGAGGAAATGTTGATTCCTATCAGTTGGCAGTGTTGGAAGCAATTTCTGAGCAATGCGCCACCCAAAACACCCAGATTGTCAGTGCCTGACAGAATGATATGGTACAAGCTTCACTTCTGCTACACATATCTCAGCCACACTCCGTTCACCATTCATCATCACCCAAGACAGAAACCCATCCCAGACTTGTCCTCGGTTGCTGACCCAGAAAGGACACACTGAAGCGCCTCAAGCAGAGCGGAACACAGCAGCGTCCACACCCATCCAAGAGGAGCTGTGGCCTGGTGACCCCACTGACCCTCGGAGCAGATGTGTCACTAATATAAGTCTTTCTCTCCGTGGAGTTGGAATATTTCAAGAAGGTTTGCAAAGCTCGTGATACTTGAAGCACATGCTGGAAAACTGCACTATCACAGATATAATAAAGGGTGTAGGGGCTAAGACTTGGATGGTGCCCTGAATTCAGCGCGCGTAAAAAATATCTTGGTTTATTGTGCTGTTACAGAACTGGTCCGGGAGCAGGCTGCAGTTTGGCGCCACCTGGTGGCAGTTATCTACCCCAACTCTCCCTATCTGGACTCTGAAGAGCTGGCATTTACAGAATCCTGGGGAAGTCAGGAACTTTCAGATGATTAGCTGTTAGCTGCCATACTGAGAAGATTGATTAGGAAGCATAACACAGATTCTGGGGTTCTCTCTGTGTCCCCCGCTTGATGAGACTGCACCCATCTCCACCATATCCCATACCCCCATCCAAAGTTGGAACCCTAACTCTGTGACCACCCCATCTGTCTTAGTTACTTTTTACTCGTCGCTGAGACAAAATACCTGATGCCCAAAGTTGGGAAAGGAAAGGTTTATTTCTTACAGTTTTTGGAGGTTTCAGTCCACACACTCAGTTGGCTCCAAGGCAGGGTGGCATGGCTGGGCTGCAGTTCATGGCAGCTTCCAACAACAAGGTGGAAACCCACAAGAGAGAGGCACACCTTCTTCCTGCCATTACATTACATCCTGGCTCTACCCCTAGCCGCTGTAGCACTCACAGCCCCAATCCAAGAGCTAGACAATGAACCAATCACAGACGCATAATGCAAGGGCATGGAGCTTGGGGGCCACCGAAATAAACCATGACACCATCTCTTGCCCACTGGGTGCCATTGCTTCCAAGCTTCTTCCCCGTCGCCTCCTCACTGCCCAACTAACATGGAGCTATTGAGTGAGGCATATCTGGGGAGTGAACTCAGACTTACAGCATAAGTCAGAATTATAGTTCCTTGTACTTATCTCAGCACTGGACCACAGGTCCTTGCAACCCACAGAGCAGTCATCACCACAGGAAGTTTCCTGCTAGCTGTGTGCTTTCACAAGACCGTGGTTCAACCGTGGAGTTCAAGTCCCACCCTCACAGCCTGACCCCTGCTACTGTTTCTCCTGGTGGTTTCATTGTCTCCCCGGAAACCAAGTCTACAATTCGCCTCACCCTGAATTTTCAGGCCTCTGTTTTTACATCCCAAAGCACAGGAAGACCCTCAGCCACGCCAATTTGTTCCCTCTGCAGTATGAAACCTGCAAAAGATTTTAATGCAGGATTAGATTTTCTGTACATGTCCACCCAATCAAAATTCCAGGCAGGACTACAAGCCACCTCACACAGATATTATTAGCCTCCCTACCTTACACCCCCCAACCCGAACCCCCACCCAAAGCAGACAACAAGGAGGAGCAGGGTAGATGGGGGAGGCTGGATTCTTTGTGTTGGAGCCTCATCTTTCCACTGTCTCTTTAGAGTACTTCTGAACCCTGGAGGCAGACTGGATGATCCTGGAGAAGTTCAGAGGTCTTCATATCTCCCACCTCTTCAGCCAACACATGAATATCTTCCTTTGTCCCTTGACTTCACTTAGCCACTGTCCTCTATGCTCCTTCACGGCCAAGCCTATTAAGAATAGCATTTCCACCCACCACCTCTGTTTCCTCGTTCTCATGACTCAATCCACCTGGTCTAACCATCGCTGATCTAGCCATCATTGAGGACCTGGTCTACCCTTCCAGAGCCAGACTGCAAGTTGCCACCCTGCGGCTCCATCTCCTCAGATGAAGGCTGCATCTATCCCTGGGGACCTTCCCTCCTGCCCACCCTACATCTCACCTTGAGCTTCCCCACCCTCCATACATGGCCTCCTGTCTCCCAGGACCACTGCATTCCCTTACCTTCTTGTGGTTTTGGGACCTGAGGGCTCCAAAATTTAATACCAGCCCAAACTTTCTACCCAGCTCGGTCTGCCTGCCCTCAAAATTAGCATGTCCAAAAGGCAGCTTACCAATCTTGAATGTGGCTGGCCTGCTTCCAGAGACCTATCCCAGTGACAGATGGCCTCACTCACTTCCACACTCTGGCCAGGGAGCCAGGTCAATCATGCCCTCTGCAACCAAGTCCACAGCTCCTGCTCCAACCACCACGGTACCTCCTGGATCCTTCCCCTCCCATCCATCTCTGCTGCCAGGGCCCCAGCTCAGAGCATTCTCACTTCCTCCAGGTCACTGTGCAGCATCCTAAAAGCTCATTCCTCTAGGCAGTCCGCCTCCTCCCATGCCACAGCACTGCCAGAGCAGTGGGCTCTGATTAGATTAACTCCCTGTTTAAAATCGTTGTTTGGTTTCCTATCAACTTCAGATTAAATTAGGATCTCTCCAGCCTGTCATAAAATGCCAGTCAACATTTGGCCTCTCCAGGGTCTACAGATACTCTAAGGAGAGACAGGCAAAGCCAGGACTCCAATGGAAAGAACCCAGTCTCCCCCACCTGCCCTGCTCCTCCTTCCTGTCTGCTTGGTCAGGAGTCAGTAGGATTTTTCCTTTCCAGTCAAGTCCATGGACTGCTGGACAGAGTCAGGTTCCAGTCAGTTCCAGTGGCGTCCTAGAACCCTCATCATGCCACAAACCTTGCTACATGCCTTTGCATTTGCTGTTCTCCTAACCCATCCCCAGCAACCTGATCTCCACCTCCTACTTCCTGCTCTTAGTCAGAGCCCAACCAAGCAGCTTCTCTTCCAGGAAGCCTCCCTGACTGGCTAAGGATTCTGCCTTCCCATTACCCTCCAGAGATTACTATAGCTAGCTAATAACTTAGCTAATAACTTGAATGTAGGTTTTTTATATCTTACTATAATTTATATTGTATCAGTATTTATAGAGGACTATTCACAGCCTCCTTGAGGTCTCCACTCCCTTTGAAATGTAATTAGTCTCAAGCACTTGCTGTGTTACACTCAGTGATACGTCTCTGTCTCCCTGCAGACTGTGAGTTCCCAGAGAAAAGACCAACACTAGAAATCTCATCAGTGTCCATGTTCCCTAGCACTGGCCTGAGGATATAACAGGTGCTGCATAAATACTTGCTGAATTTATCAATTAATAAGTTGCAAGTTTTGTCTGCTTCCAAGAGAACCACAAGGGGCATTGGAACTTAGTTTCTATTATCTGTATATAAAACTGAACCACAAAATACATGGAGATGCTTTCTTTTAGTGATCTGCAAACTTTTTTCCAGAAAGTAAAAGAATCAATTCAAATAGAATAAGATAAAGAAGCATCTAGCACTGTTCTGTAAACACAGCGAGCCTGAGGGACATTGGAGGCTAGATAATAGATGGGGGATGAGGTGGCTCAGCACGTATTAAATGAGATGTGGCCCATAAGCTCTCTATGCAGAGGTGTGTGAGAAAAGGCAGTGTTATGGCACCCTCATGTTGGCAGGATGCTCCAAGGTGGATGCAGCTCCTTGCCTACAACCTAAGATGAAGCAGTGAAAGATACCAGGCCACATGCATGCTTCTATCCAAGTTAAGAAGATACAGCGTCCGTCGTAGCTGCCAGCAGCAGAGGTTTCAGGGCTGGTGACTCTCAGCCCTGGCTGCTCAGAAGCATCATCAGAAGAGCCTCCCAAGAGCCGATGTCCAGGCTGAGGGCAGGCCAATTAAATCAGAAGCCTTGGGTGAGATCTGCACACAGACCTTCTCATGGCCCCCTCGAGTGATTCTGATGTGTATCGAGTGAGAACTGTGTGTTCAAACTCGAACTTGCACATAAATCACCAGGTAGCCTCACTAAAACCCACATTCTGCCTCGACCCATGGCAAGTGGGGCTGAGAGTCTGCACGACTGACAAGGTCCCCAGGGCATCGCTGTAGTTCAGCTCTCCAGGTAGTGGAGCAGCACTCACAAGGATATTCAAGAAGATGTTGAATGCTTCCAAGGTACGGATATGGTAGAGAGGGTTAAAGCCTTGCATTGGGGTTGTGATTACATCGGTGCTCTGCAGTCTTTCTTTAACAGCTGAAATCTTTCCTTGCAAACAAAATCACCCACAGAAAGCTCATACATAAACCCACAAACACAATAGTTCATCAGAGTCTCTCTATGATGAACTCAGAACCATGCCTTCTTGTCTCCTTCTCCCCTCAAAGCATCTAGCATCTCCACCAAGTGCACTATGAAGACACCTTCTTCACAAGCTGTTATCTTGATTTCAAACACTGAGGATTACTTAAAAAACTAAAACTGCTGCTAAAACAATGAAGTGACTCCTGTTAGTGAAGCATAAGCTCATCTGGATTAGTGAGCATTAAGGTATCAGAGCATTAAGAACAAGGGAATCTGGGGGACTGGGGACTGCAGGGTCTGTATTCAGAAAGCTTATCCTGAAAAATGTGTCAAGCCACATTCCTGCCCACAGCAGCGAACATGATGGAGTAAAGGCATGAAGTTGCTGCCTGCACCTTCCTGCTGGCAAAGTGCAATGATCAAAATCAATGCGCCCCCACCCCCAAGCCTACACAATCCAGCAGGCGAGCAAGTCGGTTCCTTCTGTCACAGCTTTCACGGTTGGTTCTTTCCAGCCTCATTTCTAGGTTATCGCTGACCCCTGTATAATCCCAACCCAGATCTCTTCTCCCAAGACAGATATTCATTCTGAGAGCTCTGAATACTGCCTGGCAGGAAGCTAGGAAATGTCAGAATCAAAAGGCAAAGCAGGTGGGAAGCCACAAAAACAGGATTACTCTGGTTCACTGACCAGATCTCTAAAATATTATTTTTAGCGTATGTGTTTACCAAATTTCAGTTTACTAAAATACAGTAAAATTTCTCCAAAAATTATCAAAGTGGAAAAAATGCATTTACTTTCTTATTTTCTAATGATGCGATTTCATTCATTAGACTTCCATTTATACAGCATTTTTGATAATTTGGATACTGGATTGAACACTTGCCATTACTACGTAATAAGGATTTATCTGATCAACCCATAAGAGGATGTAATTAACCTCAGATCTCATCAAAGGAGCAAATCTACCTTTGTAAGGGGGACTGTTGAGGAGCGGCTGGAAGGGTAGAAGACTGCAAATCTGGATACCTAGTGTCCTCACTAGACTAAAGTTTATGTAGTTATTGTGATAAAACATACATTATGTATGTACCCTTTGAAGTATCTGAAAGCATTCAATTGTGGCATTAAGAACATTCACAACTCTCGATGTATTTCATATAAGTGGAATCCTACAATAGCTGTCTTTTTGTGGCAAGCTTATACACTCAGCATGTTTGCAAGGTTTACCCGTATGTCAAAACTCCGTTCTTTTTTAAGAGTGAATTCTGTTTCTACCTTCTAGCCGTTGTAAATAGTGTTGGTGTGTAAATGTCTATTTTGATGTAGGCTTTTATGTCCTGGATCTGTACCTAGAAACAGAATTGCTGCATTGCATTCTTATCCTGTTCTTAATTATCCTTATTAGCGCATGGAAAAGGCAGTGCTCTCCTTTCGACTTTTTAGCTGAATCAGGTAGATATTTTTGTTTTTCCCAAATAAATGACAAAATTAGTTTTCCTTCTTTGAAAAAAAGAACTGATAAATTATATTTACTTCTTTCTCTTAGCATTTTTAATGGCCTGATTCATAATTTCCCAAAGGGTGTGTTATTTTAAAATACAGATTTTATTTTGTATTTAGGTACGATGAGACCAATGTACCAAGACATGTTTGCCATTGAAAAGATACTTTATGAGTCGCAGTATTCAGGATAAAGGGACCTCCACACACACTACAAAGAAAAGCTTCCTTGGCATTTTGTCAAGAAAGAACCAGGGAGGCAGGGAAGGCAGATTTACGCTAGGTAGATTGAATAATCTCAGTGGGCTCTGGGGTACAGGAGCTACCTAATAGACTGATGCCTGGCTTGGCCAGCATAAAGGCAGGAAAACAATATCATATAGTTGAAGAGCCCATAAAGCAAGCAAGAATGTCAGGGTCTTAGTTTGCATATGAAAGGCAGATAGCAAAAGAGTTCTTTGCTGCCTCTAGAAATTAGCTGGACCTAGAAGGGGCAGGCAAGACCCCAGAGCCAGTCTCAGATGCCGAAGCACCAGATACCAACACCACAAAGCATGATTCACACACACATTCATGACATCACTAAATCACAAATAGCAATAGGGGCCCAGAGGGCCTCAGAGGTCTTAAAATGTCGGGTCTAAACAGTGATTCTCAGTGTTACTAGCTAGCAGAATAACTTCAGGAATTTTCTAAAACAGGTTACCTGCTCCCACACTGGGGCCAACTGAGTGTGTGCTTTAGGCAGTGGTCCTTGGCACTCTCTGTCGGCTCTCATGTGCATTGGAGGTTGAGGTTGAGAAAGCCTGGTCTGCAACGAGGTTTCTATGCAGCGTCTCCTGGGATCATGTGATCCTTGCATGTCTTCAGCCCACCCAGAACTGCTGAGTCAAGAACCTGGCTGAGCTCAGCTCTGTGCTGTTGCACGAGCCCCCAGGTGATTCTGAGGCCGCTCAACTGGAGTGCCCACGGCCAGGGGAAGGAGCCCAAGCTGATTGCATCACCCTCTCAAGGCAATCGGACCTGACACTCGTGCTAAGCCCTCTAAGGAACTGACCAGGCGAGAATCAGACAGCACGTGTGGAGCACTGAGCAACTGTCAGTCTGCAGGACACAGGACTGCTCTCAGGGGAGGGGACACAGGGCTAAAGAGGTCCTCAGAAGGGCCCTGCCCCTGGAGTCTCTAAATACTTCGCTCACAGGTTCTGTTATTGCAGCAGTGTGGAGGGGGACTGGATCAGGGAGGAAGCACACCAGAGTCATGATTCTGGTGGCTGGAGAAGATGACAGTCCAGGGGACCTGGAGAGCCTGTTGTGGCAGGAATAACCCACCTGCATGGAAGAGACACACTTGTGCTCTGCTTTGCTGAATCCATGGTTCATGGTTTAAGAATCCTTCAAGTATTTTCAAATTGCAAGTTTTAGCATTCAGAGGAGTTTGAAAGCAAATGGAGTATGGAGAAATCAAGTGAATAAACGGGTTTTCCCTTTTGAAAGAAAATCATTGCAGAGAATTAGCACAGAGTGTAGCCAGCATGGAAGGAAATAATCTGTGGGTGACTTCCAGTGATGACAAATTATGGGGACAGAGGACTGCATTCTGGTCCCAGCTCCTCCTGTTAGCAGTTGTGAACCTGAGCAATTACTTAAATTCTAAAATTTGGTTTCCTCCTCTACAAAATAGAATTGTGATAGCACTAATTATTCACTTAAAGGAAAATATAAGAGAATGCTGGTAAAATGCTTAACATTGTTCTCTCCATAAATGCTCTAAATTTAACTACCATTTCTGCTACTACTTTTGCTCTTAATGCCATTTTTAGCAGTGTCAGCTGTGGTTCCTATTGTGCTGCTGCAACAAAATTCCAGGGGTTGGGTACTTTATAAAGAAAAGAAGGTTATTTAGCTCACAATTCTAAAAGCTCTAGGGCACGTATTTTGTCAGCTCTGGTGTAGGTCTCATGGTGTGTTACATCACAGTGGCAGGAGCATGTGAAGGATGGGGGCTGGCTAATGCACATGGTAGGATTCAGGGAAGTAGTAGCATCCCTTCTATCAACCCATTCTCATGGGAATTAATCCAGTCCCATGAGACAGACCCACTCCCAGAAGACGGCAGGATCCATCATGAGGGCGTAACTGCATGACCTAAGACCCTTCCTTTGCCCATCTCTTATTAGCCCCACCTCCAACACCTCAGCACCACCACCCTACAGACCAAGCTTCCAGCACATGGATGTTTGAGGAGGGAGCCATACTCACACCATAGCAGTGACCTAGAATAAGTATTCAAGAAATATCTGCTTCTTGGAAAACAGCAAAAATGCCGTTCTCATCATTATTGTAACTGCTACCAGGGGGGGCTAAGGCTCTCAAGTATGCTCAGATCTGTGGAGAGGGCTACAATTTACCAGACAAGCCAAGAACTCCCTGAGAAAAGTATCTTTCCTCAAAATTCCAAAAGCATATTTAAGTCTGCTACTAAGAAAAAGCCTTGCCATACACACAATAGGATAATTTATGCTGCCACAACAACCTCCAGACCTGAGTGGCTTCACCCTGTAAAGATTTATTTCTTGTTCATGTCTAGGTCAAGACGAGTTATTTGGTGTCTGTCTGTCTTTCAAGTGTGAACTTGGAGATCCAGGCAGAGATCTAGCTAGAGTATATTCCCAAAGGCCAGGCTTAGAAACCGATACATTCTGTGGCTCTCACCCATGGAGTCAAGCTCTAGGATTAGCCTTATATATCCAAACTAATTATTCTGATATCCATGAATCTATTTGTCACATATCACAGATTAAGACTTCCCAACTATGGTGGTTCTCATTTAAATATGCCAGTCTACCGGTATGAATTATGTGATACAATCAGTTTCTCCACTGAACAGAATATACTCCTAATTATGCTGCCTAGATTTGAATTCTCAAGTTGTGAGGGGGTGTGTGTTATTAAAATTAACAATTCTAGTTGAAATTGCGAGAACTGTATAATGCATTTGGTTCTATCTCTATATCTATTTCTATCTCTCTATCTCTCTATCTGCAGTGTGAGCAATTATCTCCATTTTGGCAAAAGTCCACAAAGAGGACATAAATTGCAGAGATTTGCTTTCTGTAGTTGACCATGCTTTCACCCTATGCAGATGGCAGAGCCCGCCACAGCGTGTCTCACAGCCCAGCCTCATTGAGACAGAGGGTGGGATGGGTCGCTACCAAGCCTGGACCACCCCAGTTCTGCCTTAGTCTGACACCTCTGACCTCTCATCCACTTTGCTGCAGGTACCACATCTGTGTGACGGTGCTGATCTACTTCCTCCCCCTGCTGGTGATCGGCTATGCCTACACAGTAGTGGGGATCACGCTATGGGCCAGTGAGATCCCCGGCGACTCCTCTGACAGGTACCACGAGCAAGTATCTGCCAAGCGCAAGGTGAGCAAGGGGCAGACTGCACCCAACCCCAGCCTGGCACAGGCAGCAGCCCCACTGGTAGGGTTGGCAAATCTGAGACCCGCGGAGGGAACAGGCACAGAACTTACCCTGGGCCTAGGGAGCAAAGGAGAGAAGGGAAGAAACCTGTCTTTATACACACTTACACAGGCACATGCTCCTACACACATGCACACATTCCTACACACATGCACACACTCCTACACATGCACACTCTCCTACACATGCACACACTTCTACACATGCACACGCTCCTACACATGCACACCCTCCTACACACATGCACACCCTCCTGCACACATGCACATGATCCTGAACACATGCACATGCTCCTATACACGTGCACATGCTCCTGCACACATGCACACACTCCTACACACATGCACACGCTCCTACACACATGCACACGCTCCTGAACACATGCACACACTCCTACACATGCACACACTCCTTCACAATGCACACACTCCATCACACATGCACACACTCTTACACACATGCACACGCTCCTACACATGCACGTGCTTCTACACACATGCACATGATCATACACATGCACACACTCCCCCACACATGCACACGCTCCTACACACATGCACACACTCCTACACATGCACATGCTTCTACACATGCACACGCTCCTACACATGCACACCCTCCTACACGTGCACACGCTCCTGCACACATGCACATACTCCTGAACACATGCACATGCTCCTACACACGTGCACATGCTCCTTCACACATGCACATGCTCCTGAACACATGCACACGCTCCTACACACATGCACACGCTCCTGAACACATGCACACACTCCTACACATGCACACACTCCTTCACAATGCACACACTCCATCACACATGCACACACTCTTACACACATGCACATGCTCCTACACATGCACATGCTTCTACACACATGCACACGCTCATACACATGCACACACTCCCCCACACATGCACACGCTCCTACACACATGCACACACTCCTACACACATGCACACACTCCTACACATATGCACACACTCCTACACATGCACATGCTTCTACACACATGCACACGCTCATACACATGCACACACTCCCCCACACATGCACATGCTCCTGAACACATGCACACACTCCTACACATGCACACGCTCCTACACATGCACACACTCCTACACATGCACACACTTCTACACATGCACACACTCCTACACATGCACACACTCCTACACATGCACACACTCCTACACATGCACACACTCCTACACATGTACACACTCCTACACATGCACATGCTCCTTCACACATGCACATGCTCCTACACACATGCATACACGTCTACACACTTACATATACTCCTTCATACATGCACTCTCCTACACATAGTCTCCTATACACATGCACGCACTCCTACACATACACATTTACACATATGTACACACATACACACTTTCCTTCACACGCACACAAACATGCACCCAAAACGTTACCACTGATGTTTCTTACTAGCCGTTGTAGATATTGAAATTTATAAACCAAATAAATATGTAGTATTTTCTCTTCTTTTTTTACACAACTAGTACATTCAAAGCTGTCATATTTTTCACTAAAAATCCACACAATTTCCCAAAATCAGTGTAGAAAAAGCTTTCTCATCCCCTGCTCTGCTGCCTCACAGCATTTCATTGTACAGTTGCTATATTCGTCTTCCCTGAAAATTTCTAGGTGTTAAGAAGGAGGTTACATCACCCAGAATCTTTGTCCATTCACATAATTATAACAAAATATCTTTGAGAACTTAGTTTTGGTTTTGGCGGGTTTGGGGGTGGTTGTTTTGGTTTTTTTGGTTTTTGTTTACTGAGACAGGGCCTCACTGTGTATGCAATTCAGGCTGGCCTCAAATTTGCCTCCTGCCTCAGTCTCCCAAGTCAGGATTACAGGCAAGCGCCACCACACCCAACTCTTGGGGAACTTGTAAATACAGAAGTTTTATTTCTCTGGAGGATCTAGCATCCAAAATGAAAGCTCTAGTAGATTTGGTGTCTCGTTAGAGCTATTTCCTGGCTCACAGATGGTGCCTTCTTGCTATGTCCTCACATTGTAGATGGGGTGAGGGATCCCTCAAGTCCCTTCCAAGAGTGCTAATTCCATTCCTGAGGCTCTACGCTCAAGACCCAATGGCTTCCCCAATACCACCTCCTAATGCTGCATCCTAGAGGGCTAGGACCCCAACACATACGCGTGGGGGGCACAAACATCCAGACCACAGGGCTCAGTATGTGTAAGACCTTCTTCTAAGTCCTTTAAACACTGCATGTGCCTTTGTTGCTGCTGTCCGCATCTCTGCCTCCCTTTCTCTCTCTTCCAGTCCTCAGCAAAAGTACACCACCCACCCTCTGCCCCGCTCCTGAACACCCATTCACACTGCTAACTGGTCTCCCTTGACTTCTTCAGCCCTTTCCCAGGAGGGTCACATAACACAGTTACCCCCAAATTGAGAGCACATCAGAGGCATCTTAAGGTTGGTGCAACACAGAGCTCTGAATCCTT